CCTTTAAATATTGATACACCTTTTTAATATGCGCATGCACATTTTGCATTCCTTATAGAATATGAATATTTTTTCTTGGTATTTGTTTGAGTGTGGAATTAGTAGCGAACCCAAATTGACCAGATGGGAAATTTCAAAAGATAGAACTTCGTTTCATCATACAATAAAATATAAATATTAAGCAAATGAACAAATTTAATTTTTTAAATCTGCCACACCCATGTCAAAATAATGAGATGACATTATAAAGCTAAAGGAACTCCATTCTTGATCAAAGTTCAAACAATTAACAAATTGTAATCTAAAAAGCAAAAATTGCAATATAACGAGCAAGAAAACATTCTTTGACAACGAGTCGACTCTGAAAAGGAATTGACAACGAACCAACGTCCATACCAATATGAATTTTATGCTCAACACCACTAGCGAAACTAACAAAAATAGCCTCCTAAACCCAAAAAGACCTGATAGCATACCAACTTAAAACTAAAATAATCACTAAAAGTGACTCAAAATAACCTCACTAAAGAGGTACTTATTGACAAAAATACTAAAATGAAAAACAAATTTGCATCAATTCATAAGAACAGGAAAGAGGAGGAAGATGAGGGAAGGGGGAATTGGATCCCCTCCTGAGCAAATGGTGGGGATTCTCATGACCCACTAACACGGGTCGTTGGATTTTGATCCAACGGTTACAATTATTATAATTTTTAGAGCGACTTCCTATTTGTAGCCGTTGGATCAAAATTCAACGATCCGTGTTAGTGGGTCATGAGGATCCCCACCATTTGCTCAAGAGGGGATCCAATTCCAAAAAAAGGAGGAGGAGAGAGGCTACCACCATCCCAAGCTAGAGCAAAAGTCCGCCTGGCTATGAATTTTTTAGATCTAGGGGTTTTGCTTGGTTAAGAAAATTATCTTTTTAGTTTTTTTTTGGTAAGAGGAAGGTAAACAAAACAAGAAAAAGCTAGGCAGGAAGAGCCCTAGAATGGGCCCGGCCCATAATATATTTGAAACTAAAAATAATAATAGCATTGGTAGGAGGAGAAACAAGGACATGCATCCTCTTTGGATTCAGTTGTCCTAATTCATCTAGTCAAATCATTCAAATTATTGAAATTTGATCTAATAGCTACAAACAGGAGTTCACTTTAAAAGTTATAATAACTTTAGCCGTTGAATTAAATTTTAATGGCTCGGATGATTTGACAAGGTGGATTAGGACAACTGGATCCGAAGAGGATCCATGTCTGAGAAACAAAACCATGATGACAAAGAGACAAGCCATGACCCAAGTCAGCAATATGGTCCTACTAGTTCTAGAGTATTTTTTTTAGAGAGTTTTAACGAAACACTCTTAGTACTAAAGATCATTTTTTTACTTTTTTCTAGTACTATTCACTACACATTCATTTGTCATTTTTCATTAAAACTAAAGTTTTTTTTTTTTTTTTTTTAAGCTTTGAGTTAACATAACGTCCTAGGTTTGATTTTTGAAGGTAACCACAAATGCTATTTGTAACAATCACAACACGCACACACATATTTTTGGTTACCTTAAAAATATGTGTGTGTGTGCGCGCGCGTGTTGTGATCGTTAGCTTTTTTTCAGCATCTCTATAATAGTTTTGTTAGGCTTATCACATAAAGAGTTAGAAACTAACCTATCTTTCGTTCATTTACTAATTACGCAACTATGTGAATAACTTTTCAAGATTATGAGTTATGTACTAGTAAATTTGGGTGATCGGTGACATAGGTGCTATTCTTTTGTAACAAAATGTTTAGAATGATTTGTAAGGAATGGGTAGCATTCCTATTCCTATTCTTTTCCATCCCACACCTTCTGGTAATTGAAAATTCAAGGTATGAGATTATTGATAAGATTTTTACCACTTGTAAAAGTTGAGATAAAAACATTTAAAAATACTTGCAAGAGTACAAGGTTGTCGTGGTATAGCAGCTTAAGCAAGGTCATTTTACATAAGGATTGAATGAATAATTTGTGCTTAAACTAATTCTTAATTAATTATTTGAAACAAGGTTTGAAAAAAATTGATTTTGAAATTTTAAATAATAAAAACGAATTTTAAATAAAAACAATTAAAGAAATTAGCAAAGTAAAGAAAACAAAAGAAAACGTTTTTGAAAATTAAAGTTGTGAAAGCCTAGGGTTCCACCGTCACCATTAACAATCCTACGCAATTTTACCAATTACTTATGAATTTCTACATACATGTTTTGAAGGTTAGGTTCTCCTATAGCATATTTTCCTTGTGATGTTCAAGCGAAAACATATATCTAACATGCAACCCGTCTGTGATGTTCAGATCAAATATAAATATGTAAGACTCATTAAGTTTTGTGAAAACCCTTTGAAAAACCATGCAACCCTTAAGAGCATGATGTTCGCCTTAAGTGAACTTACAATTACTAATCACAAGAAGCCTCCTCAATTTCAGGGTGATGTTCCAACAGAAATTGCATCAAATTACTTGTCTAAAAACTCTAATGATTGTGGATCATTAAGACAATTAGATAGTCTAATCGCAGTGATTAATAATTCAAAGCAAGCATGCATCCATTCATAAGCAAATTAATAAAATCACATATTCCTTTCTCTCCTTCCCGTCTAACCCTAACGGCTAAAAAGTCTTATTTATACTACTACAAAATAAAACCCTAGAAAGTCTTAGAATAAAACTAGGAAGCATAATAAAATAATAAAACAGAAAATAAAGTTTTCATATTTAAACTGAAATTCGGACTTCTCAGATAATCAAACATTTGACTGACCAAAGCAACTCCAATTTGGTCCCAAAAGGTCTATTTTGAAAGCTGAAGACGTTCCCTACAAATCCTCAGAAGGAATCTCCATAAAATATGTCATCTTGACCTCCAAAATGCCCAAAACGTCCGTAAACGTCAATCTAGGAAAGCTGCACGCAGATTCTTTATTTCATCGCCACGGTCAAATGTCTTGGTAGAAAAACCTAAAACTTTGATACAATCATCTTGAAAGGATCACAAATATCCTTCAATTAGAATCACTCCAAAATTTATCCGTTTGATCATTTTTTGCTCCAAAGGAAGTTTAATATCTTACATTGAAAACATATAACAAAGTATCAAAATTCTACCAAAATAACCAATAAACTATAACTAAGAATAGGGTAAAATATATGGTATAATATGGACTTATCAATTATCAGGGGGTGTTTTTTATCCCGTACTCAATCATTCATATCACTATTCTATCATATTCATATTCCTATTCCTACTTATGGTAAGTTAACATCCCTAATTTAATTAGTAGTTTATTTTGATAAACTTTAATTGTACGTCAAGGATGTCGACAAGACATCAAGATATTAACAATAAAAATAAAAATACCCAAAGGTAAAAACTAATGTGGAGAACAATCACATAAAAATAGCCTAAATTGCTAAATTTAAGCAAAACAAAAAGCCAATACCATAACAAAAACTCTCAATTAGCCCAACCCTAAATCTTGATTGCCACTATGATTGAATTCACACCTCCATAGAACTCATCTTATCTTGACATGAACTTGTGTATCAATTGACGGGTCAATGGACTAGAACTTGATGAGGGTAAATCCAATTGATCATGACTCAAATCATAGAGGCATTTTACACAATTTATGCACAATTCTACGTCTGCTGATCGAGTGGAACAAAAACCAAGGAGTTGGGTAGCGTGAGGCCTTTTCCATTATACATTGATGACGCGATCTTATAATGGTACACTTGACGTCTCTAGTCAGTAAGGAGATTCGGAACTAACGACGTAGGTTGAGAACCTCATGTGTTGTAAGTCTTGTGTCGAACTACGGATTGCTCGAGTCTTATTAATTCTAATATGAATACAACCGAAACGATTGTACACCTGCGGGGTCAATCGGTTTTTGAGAGAGTGCGCGTGTGCGTGTCGTGTATTAGTGCAGCTAGTTTTATATGTATAATTTTTATGAAATGATGATGTGGGTTTAAAAAATTGAGAGTAACTTACTATCATATATTGTATTGTTGTCACCCTTACGGACTTCACTACTTATCAGATTTTTTATTTTTTTTTATTTATCAAGGGTAAATTTTCATTACCAAACAAGCATACAGATACAATGCCCAATTACAAATAAAGCAAAACACTAACAGATGGACCCCCAAAGCAGAAAACCCAACTCAAAAGTTGAGCCCAGAACAAACAAACAGAAACAAAACCCAGCCCAAAGGTTGAGTCCACAACAAACACATAGAAACAAAACGCTAGCAACCCTGTCGCCGCTACTGCCGCCGATCGTCGAGCACCAGAGATCTCGCCAACAAGAACCCCAACATGAAGAAAGAAAAAGGTGACATCAACCTTGAAGACCCACCAAAACATCTGCCGCCACGAACTGAACCAAGAACCAAGGAAGCACGCAGGATGACAGATCCCACGAGCAACATCGGGGAGGACCAACAAGGGTTCACAAAGGTAATGGTGCGAACACCCGAGCCAAAGCTTTACACCCCCTCCCGTAGATTCGTGACAAATCACGGTGAACATTAGCAGTAGTCGAATGGAATTTGGTATGGCCAAAGAGATGATGGAGCCAGATGAATAAAAGGATGGAAGGGAACGAAAAAAGGAGGATGGAGGACACGTAGAGAATGGAGTTTGTAACCTTCCGGTAATGATGAGTGACATTTGAATACCTATTTTTCCTGTGAACTAGAGGTTATGGTTATTTTTTATCCTATTGGAGGTTATTGTTAATTTTTATTGTATTGTATATCAGATCTAATTTACCTATGAGTTCTAGTCCGTTCTACCGAATGCGACTTATGGATCTTAAACGTATCTCGACATCAAAGCGTAATATCTTTTATCATTTGTACAATTAAAAACTTAAAAGAATAATTGAAGTTAATGATGGATCAACTCATGTTAATAAGAATACTCAGAAAATAAGAAGTTCAAATACACCCAAGTAATAACAAAATCATAGTTATTAACCAACTATTACAAACGTAGTATTATTTTGTAAGTTTTCAATAACTTCTTAATGAAGTTATAAATTTCGACGGAAATGTGCATAATAACACTATAATTTGTTCTGTGTAATAGTAGAATTTCAAACGAGTGACTATTTTTCGGTGCTATTTTGCACAAGATATTTGTCCGAGGCATTTAATATCATATCATGGGCGTTTTCCATGCACAACTTCAGTTTTTGTGGATCTATGATGCCTTTTTTCATTGTTAAGGTAAGCCTCACTTTTCCCATATAACTTAGGACTGATATGTCAAGATCCTGCAGGTACACGTAAATTGTGTTACTTATATATATAACATGTCTATGCTATCATTAAGAAAACACACCTTGTATATATATGTGTTTGTGTGTGTGAAAGTATGTTTATATAACTTTTAATTTTATATGCACCTAATTTTCAAAACAAAACGATGCATATTGTTTCCAAAACTTTTGAGACCCTGCTGCTTACCAGAGGTGATCCAACTATCATAAAGTATAATCCTTTTATTGGTTGGTTAGCCAATGACATTTGTTCCACGGGCCCGATCAAATTTGTAAATGCCATGCTCGAGTTCGTTAATGTTCTATGGATGAATCTTGATGCTGCCTGCACCACAAGTAGCATTCTAATTTTTAAATAAATGTTGTACATGTGTAATATCATATGCATTTTCTTAGGGCTCGTTTGGTGTACATAATTGGATGGATTAGATACTAAACTAAAGATATGTTAAAAGGAGATATTATATAATTATGATCACCTAGAGAATTAAAGATGAATTACTCATGAAGAAAACTTGTTCATTCTAGTCCTCCATAAAATAGTACGATTAGAAAGAATGAATTTTCTTCATAACTAATCCTTTTATGATCCCTTCCAAATGAAAATCATTCATTTTCGTCTTCAATATACCTTAATACGTAAGAATTATCTATTTCAATTCAATCATGTCTACCAAACCAGTCCTTAAATTTACTTACCTCGTGGCCTCCAAACCTGTTCAACATCTGCAATAGCCCACTAGTGAAATAAATAGCTAAAGAATTTCTTTTCGTCTTGATAGTTTTTTGAGCCTTCCAGACAAAGTCAAGTGTGTTTGAGAATTCAGTCAAATTGGGAATGGGAATCTGCAAGAATGTAATATGATTTCCCCATGGGCTCTTGCTGTCGGGTTTGACCATTTCTTCAACCGAAGTATAATTCCCCATGACCCTCGTATTTAGTAAAATCAATGCAGTGCTATGGGCTTCCCTTGAGCTTTGGTTCATCTCTTGCATATATAGTCGAGTGCCAAGAAAGACCATCCCGGTAAGGACGTCATTTATCGTCTGTGATAGTAAATAAGTTAACTGTGTTACAATTTATTACCAATTTGACAGTATGGTGTTTGTTGATTTGCATGTTGTGTGTGTATTTTATATTCTATTTTTTGTTATTCTCCATTTTTTAAACCATGAGATGTAAGAGATTTTTATTACTAGTGATTAAAAGATCTATATAAATGTGTAATGTATGGGGAGTCTAAGGATTGAAAGTTCCCATTTTAACTCTTTCACCTTGGGCTTCAACAATATCAAGAGCACTTTGGTGAAATTTTTGATAAATTATGTGTTATTTTAAAGGATAGTTAAACAAATTTGAGCATTTGATAATCTGATACAGATCGAGGAAAAGGTTAATTTTGAAGATCATGGTTTCATGGCTTCTTCATTAGCTTCAATAGGTCAGATTAATGTTACATAGTTTGGAATTTAGGACGAGCTAGCCAGATTGGCTTTGCAAAAAGAAAAAAGAATTAGGCAGGTTTTGACTTTCTTAAGTAAATATACTTTAAATTGTAGTGGCTAATCCATGCACGGGGTAGGTTTTTATTTCAAAATAATACTTTCGTTACATTTTCCATTTATTGATCCGTTAAGTACTAATGAGGCTGTCACATATATGCCACGTGGTTGTCAAATATCTACTACGTGGCAAAAATAGTAATTTTTTTTAACTTGAATTTTCTCAAAAAAAAAAAAAAAAAAAAAAAAAACTGAAACCTGTCTTCTCCCCGCAACCCCCAAACCCATCTCCCCCATCTTCATCTTCTTCCCTATAAACCAGAAAGAAGAAGAAGAAGGAAAAAAAAAACCCGTCTTTCCCCCCCTCTTCCCCTCTCTTCTCCCCCATCTTCATCTTCTTCCCCCGACCCCCGTACTTTCAACCCAAAAAAAAAAAAAAAAAGAAAATTGAAACTTGTCTTCTCCCCGCAACCCCCAAACCCATCTCCTCCATCTTCATCTTCTTCCCTGCAACCCAGAAAGAAGAAGAAGAAGAAAAACCCGTCCCCCCCCTCTTCCCCTCTCTTCTCCCCCATCTTTATCTTCTTCCCTCGACCCCCTACCTGTAACCCTAAAAAAAAAAAAAAAAAAAAAAAACCCAGATCCCGTCTCGCCATCGCTGGGTTCGTGGAATGGATGTGGACTTAAGGAGTGGGGTGTGTGTAGAGAAGGGAAGAGGATGGGCGCAGAGGGAGGGAGGGTCGCAGGTGGGGGAGATGTGGGCCCCCGGGGGGCGGGGGTGGCGGGAGGATGCTGGTGGGGTGGGGGGGGATTATTTTGAGTTTTTGGTTTTGAGGGGACAACGGGGATTTTTGTTGGGGGGGGGGGGAATGACAAGAAGTTTATCTTCAGGTTTTTTTTTAATTAATATATTTAGAAGATTTAGGGTTTAAAAAAAAATTAAAAAATTATTTTTTTTTGCCACGGGGCACACATTTGGCAGCCACATGGTGGTCACGTCAGTGCTTAACGGATCAATGGATGGAAAATATAATGGATGTATTATTTTGAAATAAAATAGTACTTAAGGTATGAAAGTGAAATGTTTTGAAGATGTTGTAAGGAGTTAAAATATACTCCAAACCTGAGGTATGAAAGTGTAATTTACCCTTTAAACATTTAAAAGAAAAGTATCATTAGTAAAAAAAAAAAAAAACAAAAAAATAAGTGGTGCAAGACCAATGTCTAATTTTCATAATAAAATTTAACTATTAATTATCAATCATAACTATTACGTTAAAATTAACAAGGTTTTTTTTCTTCTTTTTATCAACAAGAGATGGAAGATCAACATGAAAGCTTATTCCCGTGTTTTAGAAAGAAAAAACACACCCACATGCACAAACCAAAATGCTACATAGAAAACCTGAAACTTACCACTCCAAGCCTGCTTTTAATTAATTTGATGTGATCAAGAGAGATTGTCACAGTTGATACTGTAATTGGCGCGAACTCGAATCCAATGTTCGAGGATTTTATTGGTGATCGATCATCTTCCCCGGTGATGCTCTTTGAAATGCCCCACCAAATATCGGACATGGTGTTCAACAAGGATGAGAAAGTTCTGGTCATAACATTTTCATTCTTCGGTTTCGATGGCTGCCGTGAAGGAAAAGTTAAGGGAAGAGAAGGATTGTCAGCCCTTTGTAGACAAGAGAGAAGAGCGCCCATGAGTGAGTAGCCATCACCTAACGCATGGTGCAACTTAAATACAACATTACCAGCTGCATTGCTATTTGGGTACTTTATAACATGAAATTCCCACAGTGGTTTGTCTTGTGGAAATCTCTTTGTTGCTAAGTTTGACAAATAGTCATCAAAATACTCGTCATATGATTCATTCGACAAGTTGGAAGGGAAGATTGGGGTTTTAACATGGTCTTCAAGCTTCACTTCAACCCTTTTCCATTGTTTCTTTCCCTTTTTTTCAATCTGTTTCCAAATTAAATAATTACTGCTCATGAAAAAGAGGACATCATGTAAAGAGTACTCCAGAAGAAACTTCAAACGTGCTCAAAAACATTTAGCCCACGTCCTATAATGATGCAATATTCCATAATGATCTAGTACAATGCTTAGATCTAAAACTTTATCAAGCTTAGGGATATCATTCAATGGGAGAAAATAAAATACAACATATAGGTGTATGGTTACACTCCTAATATTACCAAGACCTTTTGTAATAAAACTCAACACCTACCAATAGGTGATTAAGTTGAGACAAAATCAGTATGGTTAGAAGTGGATCAATGGCTCGTCTCTCTTAATATTGAACAAGATCAAACATTCAAACCGACTAAAGGCATACCACGATCTAATTGTATTGTTTTGTATGAATTATTGTATTAAAAAAAAAAAAAATCCCTTCATGACCTTGTTTAAAATTCACTCCAAACCTGAAAAGTTTGAAATGTAGTTTGCCCTATAAACAAACTAAGCTCACATGTGGAAAATATTGAAACCAATAATAAAAAAAAAAAATTGTAGCTGGACCCTTTACTTATAAGTGATAAATCTTAAGTTCGACTCACTTTGATAGTTTATTGCGAGAATTAACATAAATCTCCAACCTTCAACTAAACTATTCAAACAAAATTTGCGTTTGAAAAGTTGTTTAATAAGTAAAAGGAAGGAAACAAAGAGTATGAAAGAGAGAGAGAGAGAGAGAGAGAGAGAGAGCGTACCATGATAGAGGAGAAGCGTGGGTTGATCGGCAGGAACACGTTCTCGAGCAATGACAGAAATTGAGAGTCATCAATTGGAATTTCATATTCCAAAACAGCAAGAACTGATATTGATAAAACAGAGTTGTTGAAATAGTGGCCAGTAGGGCTCACTGGCTCTAGTCCCTCTTCCGAAATCTCCATCTTGGTTTATGTTCGAATTTTGCTTCCCCTTTTTCTCCCCCAATTTAATTAACTTGGAGTAATAAAACTTTAATCAATTTGTATGATCGGCTATGGATTTATAGAATAAAGTGAGTAGCAAACGGATGTCTGTTGTGTTGTCAGTGTTAATAGCGTTGAACAGAATAATATCTTCTTAATAACAGGTCCCATATAATTAATTTCCTTGTCAATGTTAATTAATACCGTTGAAATTTTGTTCGTAAGGGGAGCTGTATAACTAATACAGGTTAACGCCAAGGGAAGATTGGAGTTATAACATGGTCTTCAAGCTTCACTTCAACCTTTTTCCACCGTTTCTTTCCATTATTTTCAATCTATTTCCAAATTAAATAATTATTAATTGTTCTTAGAATTAATCATGTGAAGAGTAGTTCAAAGGAAACTTCAAACGTCCCTAAGAGCAGTTCCACCTCTAACACAAATGCGCCAGCACTCAACACATTTATCCATTCGGTGAACAGTGATAGATCCCAATGAACAGATAGACCAAATGCATCTCCATCTCTAATGAAAAATAGCCTAGTCCATTTTATTAAAATATTATTATTATTTATTATAAAATAATAATTTTATTTTTAATTTCTGACTTTATAAAAAATAAAATAATAATAATAATATTAAAATATTTTTATTTTCTCATTCCCACCGCCCCTGCACTTCCCTTCCATTCCCACCGCCGATGCATCTCCACACCAAATCCCACGCCAAATCCACACCACTTCCTTTCTCATCTTCCACACCTCTTCCTCATCCTCACTGCTGTCCACCCCTACACTTCATTTCCATTCCTTTCTCAACTTCACCGCCTCTCTCCCTCACTGACACACCACTTCATTCTTCTGCCATGCACGCACTCTCAACTACCACCGCCTCCGCCCTCTTCCTCCAACTCTAAAAGAGCAATGAAACCCCAAACTCATCGCTTATCCACCTGCCACCATCACCCTACCAAACCTATCACCGGATTCTACACCCCCTGCCTAAGTGAATGCCTCACCGACCTCGACTCCACTGCTGCCGCCGATCACCATGAACCCCCAGCCCAAAACCCCCATTTCGGAGAAGCAAATCATGTTTCGGAATGAGACAGGAATGGTCGTCAGGCAACGCCCTTGACCCGACCTGGACGTGGGAAAAAAAAAAAAAAAGTTGCTGATGTCACACTGGCGTCAGATGGCCCGGTCCTAAGGTTTGTCAATTATGGGTTGGCTGGAGACCAGCTTGGGTTGGGTACCAGCCAATCTACTGGGCTGGAGAGGCTTCCCTAGGTGCCAGGCCATTTTTTTGGCTAGGTGTTGGCCTATCCCACCCCTGGTGGAACTGCTCTAATGAACGGCTATGTATTTATAGAATAAAGTGGCCATCAAACGGATGCCTTTTGTGTTGTCATTGTTACTACTGTTGAACATACAATTATCTTCTTAATAACATGTCTCATATAATATTTTTCACCACTTTAATTATTGTGTATGCTCATCACATACCGAATCATTTGTTATGTGTTATTTCACCTAACTCTAGTTAATTGTCACATTAAATGTTACTTTTTCAATTTTTAAAAAAAAAAATTAGAACCAAAGTTAAGTAAAATGACACATGTCAAATTACACTATATTTTATGGTTGTAAGCAGAAATGCTTCCTATTACACGTTTCATTTATGTCTTTTTTTTTTTGGCTTTTTAGTCAAAATGATATCTAAGATTTACATAACACATAATTTTGGTTCCTGAGATTTAAAATCAATAGAAGTGGTCTCTAAGATTGTCCACCATCCATTATTTTGGTCTTGATGTTAAAAAAACTCTGTTAAGTTGAGGGTATAACACATAATTTTGGTCCCTGAGATTTGTATAACTGTTGACCCTAGAAATTACAAAACCTACGTGGCGTGCAGGCCGAGTAACTAATAAGCTAACTACGTCCTTCGGTTGAATGTGGGCGTGCCAACTCGTCGGCCGAGGAGTAAAATTTGTTGATGTTGCGTTGAGCGCGTTGCTGACTTCTTTATCTTGCGACTGCGGCCGAGGAAGGAACAAATCTCGGCCTTTGGATTCTCGAGCCTGAAGATAAGGCTGCTAGTTCTGCGAAGTTCACAGATCGTTGGTACCGGATTCGGTTACAGTGATTATATTCGTAAGAGTATAAGCACGTCGAATCGACACCAGACTGTACGGACACAAGTATTCAAAAGTGATGTATGTCTTGATGATGAATGTGGTTCGGCCGTCAGAATGCCGAACTTTGAAACTCACTTGTGAGTATCTAATCATAAAATCACTCGGCGTTTAATGCGCCGAATGTTGTAACTCGTAACACATTACTTCGCCAAAAAGGCTAATAAGATGACATCTGCCAATAAGGATTCGAAAACCCTTCTCGACCGAGACTTGGATAGGTAACCAGTTGGCCTCGACACAATGCTGTTTATCCAAACTGAGGGTGCTCCTCAGTCAGCTGATTCTACAGCAACAGTGATGTTTATCCAAACTGAAGGTGTTTGCCGGTTGCCTTCACAATGTTGTTTATCCAAACTAAAGATGTGTTGGCGAGAAAAAGAAAATAAAAAAATTCTCAAGATGTTTAAGAGGTTTTACGCAGCACAATTGTGTGTTGAATTAGAGGGTGCTTGAATTGCACCCTCCTTTCTCTATTTATAGCAGTAAATCCTCTTTGAGATTGAGTCAAAATCATATATGGAGTGAGACTTTTTATTCTGTTCCAACTCCACTTCGACCAATCCTACCTCTATTATGACTTTGAACTCACCCCATTTTTTAGGCCATATTCATTGTTGGTCGAGAATCCAAATCACACTAGGACTTCTTTGACCCCTTTGCTCGTCTGACCTACTCTTTCTTGTTATAGGACTCGACCATCCTTGCTGAATGGCCCGAGACCACCAGGCAGCCCATAGTGTATTTGAACAGCTTTGGGCCGAATGTAAACCTACACTCGGCCCAATACTATTATTTTGGGCCCAAACTTACCCCCTCGGTTCTGAGGTCATCGACCACTAATCCTCGATCGAATCTCGACCTTGAAGAAGTGAAAACGTCTTTTACCTTTAGACTTATCTGTCTCGATAACCATCATTATGCGTATTTATGAGATATGATTGCACGATCTCCGTCTCTCCCGATGTCCTGCCACGTGTCAATTCTCTGATAAACCTAACAACTCTTAATCATGGCCCTCGAAAATGTGCGCCTGTCGAAGCGTCTTTTCCTCATCAATGCATTAAATCCGCCGCCGCACACAATCGTGCGCCCTAAAACCCCGAGAACCTCGATCCTATCCTTGAAGATTCCTGAGATATCTGAAATGATTGGCCATTTCCCGGTCGATTTTTTCCTTAAATTTGAAAATCTAGCGCTTCTAAATATCAAATGTTGATCTTCTTTCTGAAATGCCTATAAATACCTGAATTTCCTTCATTTGCATTCTATGCCTTCAGAAACTTTGAACCTCTCTCGCCATTCTTGCTTTCTCAAAACCAGAAAATCTCAAGCTTACCTCTCACAAACCCCTTTCAAACCCACACGAATCTTTGAATCTTCATCGATGACATCCTTCATCTCAAAGCTCTCTGATGAGTGCAACAAATGTAAGGATTTCATTGACCGGAGCGCCATCAAAATATTGTGCTTCGAGAGTGACTTAAACACCACTCATCAAATTCTGAGGCCACTTTTCAAAGACACAGTGCCATCGTGCAAGATGCAGTGCCTTCGTGCATCACCAACCTCCTTAAAGAACAGTGCCTGACACCCTTACTGCAAGGGTTTGATTGGTCGAAGTGGTGCTTGGCACGGCCCCAAGGAGCTTGGCCCTCGACCATTGCAACCTGGGCAACCTGGGTCGAACGAATAGAAAAATTCTTCGGCAAAGAATGAGAGGCTCTTGGCATTTACGACACCATCAAGCTTTCGACTATGGAAATTGCTATGGATAAAGAGCTACTTATGGCGATTCTGAGTTTGTGGTGCTCGGCAACCAACACCATGATTCTTCCGTTCGGCCCTCTCAGCCTTACCATCCTTGACATCTTAGCTATTCTTGGGACTTCTCTGTTTGGCCTCCCAATAGATGCTACATTTTTTGGGTGCCCATCGAATCTTGACCTCAAAGCACTATTCGACGACTGGGTCGTCGAGACGTTCAGCCGAGGAGGTCAGGAACCTTCAAAAGAAGAAGTTCAAAAGTTACACAAGAACTTTTTCAATTATAACACCCTCATCCTCCACTTCGCTGGCCGTGGGGAGGCGAGTTTACGGAAGGGCGAGCACGAAGCCTTCCTATTCTACTGGTACAACAAGTTTATCTGTTGTACCAAGTTGAATAAATGCTTAGTTGAAAATATGCCGGTGGCTCTAGCCCTGGCTAATGGTCACTCCTTGGCACTCAGTCCGGCCATCCTTGCCAATCTCCTTCGTTGTCTGGCCAAAACAACCATCAACAAAATTGACCCATACCAGAACGGACCTTTCTGGTATTCCAAATCTGTCTCTAGGTTTATTTTTCCACACTTTGGCCAGAAGTTCCCATCTTGCAATCCACTGCAGTACTCGACCCCCAATTGGCTTCTCAACCGATGCTTCCTCACCAGGCCGATGAAGTCTTAAACACTTCTTCGGCCTAGATGTCATTTCTAATGACGAATTCTTAATATGTCGGCGTCAAAAATACCCTACCTCGATCAAGCTTCCGAAGTTAGCATGGGATGAGACTGAAAATGCTGATCTTTGTCAACATTAGGGGTTGTTCGTGTTGACACGTGACCTTCCCCTCGACTGCGACGTTCGCTGAGCTAGTTGGGAGGTTTATCATCCCCACTTTGTTGCCCGGTAGCTTGGCTATCTCCAAGGTTGCCTAGTACCCCTACTTGCTTATTGCTCTCTCTTAAGTCGAGATGCTTTTCTGGCTCATCCGAGAGGGAGTTTAAAGATACAGAAAAAGAGTTTCAGGAAAAATGTAAAAAATTTCGACTCCGACCGACTGCTCCTGAATCTCTTGGTACTGACACCTTTGGGGAC